ATATATATTAATCTGAAAACCCCAAACTAGCCAGACCACTAGAGGAAAAGAAAGCTATTGGTTTCCTTGTTTCTGCTGCTGCCAGGGTTACTTCTGCAGTAATAGTTCTTAGGGATTAGCAGGATTTCAGTAAGAGCACTGTAAAATGATATGCAAAATGAGTCTATAATCCAGCTATCATGATCATGGAAAAATAAAATCTTCTAAACTGATATTATCATTTATCTCATGAAAACTAATTTCCTTTTGAGTTCTCATTAATGGGCTTGAAAATCCCAGAAGAACAACGCATAGTCATACTTCAGTAAGTTGTAACTTGATAATCACTCTCTTGAGTTGGTCCCTTGGGTTCCCATAGGCCATCCTGACCTGTATGTAACATGGTTATGGAGCTTGGACTAAGCCAGCCACTTTTTATAAAGAAATTCGGCAGGAGTTAGCTTTCTAAATTAGAAGACAAGATGGTGGGTGTTCTAGTTTCCTTGCTGTGTGTGGAGGTGTGTTTGACTATTTAAGCATCACTGAGAACACTTCTGGAACTCAGCTTGAGTAGCAGGGCATTTGTTAACCCTGATTAACCACCTCTTTCCTGAAAAGGCCTTTGCAACAGATCTTGACCCAGAATGACTTTGGGGGAGAAAAACAACCAAGGCACTAAAATGAAGGTTATTACAGGATCAGAATAAATTATTTAGTGAACAACTATAAAGCCTATATTGCCTGATATTCATAGTGGGTGAGGAGGGAAGGGTTCCAAGCTCAGCTCTGACTCTCTCTGTCTGTATTTCCATTTCTTTAATTTGGGGTATGGTAAGAAAGCACCATGCTTCAGTTGCTGAGCCATGGCACTAAAGGGTGGATTGGAGTCTCTGCCCTGCCATTTACTAGATCAGTCCCACGGTCTTTTCTGGTGAAGGCTTTTCATCTCAAGATGGATGTGGTGGATCATGATGACTTTGGGGTTCTCTCCAGGCCAACACTCTCTAGCCTAGATGACTGCAGATAAGTGTAGATTTGTGCTAAGAAAGAGATTTAGAAATCAACCTCCTTCAAAAATTAAAATTTAATGTCTAACCCCAAGAAGATGAATTTTTAATATGCAGTGCATATTTGAACAGTTTAAAATTGTAAAACTAATGAAATAGGTTTTCTTAATGGGTTTCAGAATTTCTTCTCTCAAGATTTCCTCTGGGCTTGGCCTTGATCCAGGTGTCCTGAAAACCAAAGAGAGGTCTCTATTTATCACTGTTTGGGAAATTCTTTAAAGAGACTTCCTTGTCCAAAGTAGGATTCACGTGTGGGTTGGCCTAGAATACCAGTGAACAGGAGCTTGGACACAACTTTGGGGCAACAAAGGAAGCTTTTGTCTCTCTGATAGTATCACTGAAATTACAGAGAGCCTGTGAGGGTGGAAAAAGGGACATTTCAATTGCAGAGTGTTCAAGACCCAGGTACTGGTATCAGAGACCCCTGACGGACCTCTCTATGTCTCGGTATTCTCATCTGCAAATCAGGAGTAGCTCTTAAGAGATTTTAAGAAGCCAATGAAAATTAAATGAAAAATAAAACACCTGCCGTAAAGACAGTGTTCAGTAAATACTACTTTTCAGGCTGACACTTCCAGTTAACATGCATTTTGTTTCTTAATTCGAATGAAACTTATTTCAGACAACAGGCTGCTTCTCCCATTTTGACTTCATTTTCTACTATCTCCCAGAATCTCTATATGCTCTAAAATGCACCTTTGATTGCTTTTCCACATAGCTAGTAAAATAAGTGAATGATCTCTTTGTGGCTGAATCTTAGGCGCTCTAGATCCTTTGTTGATAGTTCCTGCCCTCAGCAGGCATCGCCCCTCTGGATGGTACCTACAGGAGCCTGTTGTAGGGGACGGCACACATTTTATCTCTGCTGCAGAATCAGAAAATGCTCCGTCCTTTGTCATAACCTAACTAATGAAACCCATGATAGCAGAGCAGAAACATTATCTTGGTTGGGCAAAGTCCTCTTCTGACTTTTCAGAATGAAAGAATGTTTTAGAAACTGTGGCTTGCTAAAATTCTCTCCTGCCAAGAAAGTCACTTGAGGTCAAGGGTGTGAGGGTAGGGGTTAGTGGGGCACAACTCCTATCTTGGAAACTCAAAGCAGACCCAAGTCAGTTGAGCTGAGACTAAGATTTCAGGGACGCCACTACGGCCTGGTTTCATTTTAGCCTGAATAGCCCCAGGGTTTTGGTTGCAAATTAGTTTGAACTCAGACTCTTGGGTGTGTATTTCTCCTGACGATCTGATCACAGAGAAGATGAAACCACACCAAAACCAGAGAAGGATGCCTTCTCCTGCCTGCTACAATACAAACCACAGGACACTGAACTCGACCAGGGAGGGCCTCAACCTGGGGATAGGCAGGGCCTCAACCCAGGGATAGGCAGGGCCTCCAAAACTCTGCCAAGCTCTGCTCCCCTCGGAGACCCTGCCTATGAAGCAGGTCTCACAGCTGAGGGAGAATACAAACCAAAGGTAGCCACTGCTTCAACAGCAAAAGACCAAGAGAATTCTCTAGAAGAAGGCTCTCACTAGTACATCCCAGGCACAGAGGCGATCTAGCGTCTGATAACACACTCCTGCTAGTGCCCTGGCTGAGGTTTCTGGAAACATTGTAGGGATTCCTGGGGGCTGGGAAGCAACAGCACTGCAAGCAGCTGTTTCCTTCATCCTTCCTCGCCCCCTCCCCAGATGTCTGCATTATCTATCTCCAGGCCCCCTTAGACTCTGGAAGGCTGGTTGGGGAAAGGGTCTGATGGGGGAGGAAGGACCTCAGGCTGGAGTAAGGGAAGCGGGGCGGCCAGGGTGACTGCTCCTCGGGGTCAGAGGTGGGGAGCGGTGCTGTCCCGGGTGCCCGCCCCGCTCCAGCGCCCCGGCGGCCCGCAGTACCTTGTGGGTGAGGGAGTGCTGCTTGAGATGGTGGGGCTGCACGAACTCCATGCCGCACTCGGAGCAGATGTAGGGCCGGATGTCCTTGTGCTTCATCATGTGGTTCTGTAGCTGGCTCGGGTACTGGAAGGTCTTGTCGCACTCGGAGCAGTTGTACTGGATGGGGCCGCGGTGCGTGGTGAGGTGCCTCTTCAGCTGCGCCAGGGTGGGGAAATCGAGGCCGCACTCCACGCAGATGTTCTCCCGCCCGCTGGCGTGCTTGGCCTCGTGGGCCTTGAGCTCGCTGGGGTAGGCGAAGCCCCGGCCGCACACGCGGCAGTTGTGCGGCTTGACCTCGCTGTGCTGCATCATGTGGCGCTTAAGGTGGCTGGTCTGGGTGAAGGCCTTGTGGCACACCTGGCACTTGTGAGGCCGCGTGCCCTGGTGGGTCAGCATGTGGGTGTGCAGGTGGCTGAGCTGCTTGAAGAGCTTCCCGCAGCGGGTGCAGGCGTGCGGCTTGATGCCGCTGTGGCCCAGGATGTGCGTCACCAGGTTGTACTTGGAGGTGTACGACTTTTCGCAGGTGGGGCACTGCCAGCGCTTCTGCGCGCCGCCCACGTCCACGTAGTAGCTGTCGTCGATCTGCACGTTCACGTCCACCCTCTCCACCTTCTGCTTGGTCTCCTCGCTCTCCTGGGGCTCGGCTTTCCGCGGCAGCAGAGGCTCCGGCGGCTGCTTGGGCAGGAAGGTGTGCCGGCTGAAGGGGAAGGGCGACGCCGCGGGCACGAAGAAGGGGAACACGAGGCCCGGGTGGACTTTGGGGTAGCAGGGGAAGGGCGTGGGCAGGAACGGAGGCGGGGTCGGCTGCGGCCACACGGCGCTGGGCTTGAGGGGCTCCTGCTTGACGGGCCTGCCCCCCGGAGGCTCCAGGCCGCGGTAGAACTGGAAGCCCACGTCGCACAGATCGATCATCTGCGAGTCGTACTTGGGGCGCGGCGGCGGCGGCGGGAACAGCAGAGGCAGGCGGGGAAGGCCGTGGCTTTTGTTCTCCGAGTGGAGGACCACGGCGGCTTCCTCCGCAGGGTGGCTGTAGGGCACCTTGGTGGGCATGCTCTTCCGTTTCCGAGACCCACCTCCTTCGAAGACCCCGGGGAATCCGTCTAGATCTCCCGGAGGAGGTTCATACCGGAACTGGGAGAAGGGTCCCCGGAGAGCCTCCGGGAAGGGATGCCTGGGGGGCGCCTTCCCTCGGGAAGCCCCTGGCTGCAGGTAGTGGGGAAGGGCAGGGATCCTCTTCACGCCCAGGTTGAAATGCCCATCCTCATCTTTGATCACTTTCAACTCCTTCTGCATCCTTGGCAATTTTCCTTTAAAGAGAAAGAAGCTTATTGTGTATTGTTTAGTTTTCAACGCTCTTTTCCGTTAAAGGTTTTGGCTAACTTATCAGTATTAATATATGAAGAGTAATACTTGTTTGATGCTGATACTTATTTATTCCAGGGCTGTTTAAACTATCATTTCTCTTTCTCTTTGTAAACCCATTTACTAATGTGGAAAGCCCTGGCCTCTGGAATGGGACTGGGAGACAGAATCAAACTGCACTCCAGTGTAAACCCAGCTACAGAACCGCAGGCTAGGATGGGCGTGGGCATGGACGTGTTTGGGAAGAAACCTGAGAGCTTTTCTGATCTTGTCCTCTCCAAGAGGAGGGCACCAAGGCAGGGAGAGAGGAAGTGACATGCTCACTTCGCAAGCCACTCAGTGGAGGAGTCAGGGCTGGACACATTCCGTGGCAGCCTTTCAGTCTGAGGTGTAATTATATCTGCTCATGGTGTCTTTTGGGTCTTTTGGGTCATTTCTTCTGTAAGGAAAACCATTTTCACTGCTATACCTTTGCTCAGACCTTCACTGCTGGAGGCTGAGGATATTCAAGGACACACAGGAGAAGTGTTAATGCTCAACTCAGCTCTAATATTTCCCGAGGATCCACTTGAGTCCCATGTGCTGCTGAGGTTTATTGAGTGAATGAGATTAACATGATTAAGAACAGCATTTTGGGCAACCCAGTATTAAAAAGTCATCTTGGTAATGTATGCATTCTAATCTTCAACCTGAAGCAACTTCAGATAAAAAATTCTAAGATTCTAAAGCTGCACCTGAGGCTCACTTTCCCTAGGTGTCACAGTGAAGGGTAGCCTAGGTGACCCTGTGGTGGCTGAGATTTCCCCCACAGAGCCAGTACTGCACCCTGGTAACCACATGGAGCATGTCTGAAAGAGCCAGTAGGGCTGGAGTCTGAGAGAGGGGCCTTCTTGCCCTGTTTCCAGCTTCCTCACATAGATATTGACAGAATGAAGCAAGTAGCTGATACCCCATTTCCCGTGGGGGCCCTTTCTCCTTACGTACTCTGAGTTTGAATGGGATCAATGCCTTTCCTCATCAGAGTCTCCCATGGAACCAGTCGGCCTGGCCAGGTGTGGAGTCTGACCTAGAGCCACAGGAGACAAGGTGGGCACAGATCCTGATCCAACTCAGGGTTCTGGCCCCTGGGAATGGCTACAAGCCAGCCAGTGTGGGGCGAAGGGCCTGGGGGGAGAGGGCCAGCAGCTTTCAATCACTTTCTACAGTCCTTGGTGAGGCAGATGCAGGTTTTACAAATATCCAGATATTCCAGACTTGCATGCGTGTCTTTTGGAGTGGTTTGTGAACTGTAGTATAATTAAAACAAAATGAGCCTTTTGAAATTTAGTTCCCAAGTCCATACACAGACTGTTCAATGAGGGAAAAATATATATCCTTATATGAGTATTTGGGCATTTTGAGAAATTACTATGTGAAAATGGACAGAAGACTGAAAAATAACATTAATTAATGTTATTTTTTAATTAATTAATATTAATTAATATTAATATTTGCTTTGTGTTCATGTGAATAGGAAGACAGCTCCAGCTTGTCTTCTTACCATGGGTTTGGGGCTTAGTAATTAGGAGCCAGAACTCACGATCCAGCAAATGGGAGGCCCAGCTCGTGTCTCAGTCCTGCGTCTTCCTCACATTCTTACTGAAGTGCGAGGTCTTCCTCCACTGCTGCCTCAAGGACCAGGCACTTGTAGGAAGTGATGAGGCCAGTAAGAGAATGGAATTTGTAGCTTTATGGGACCCGGAGGGGTGTGGATGGGTATTAAAATGAGAGTCCTGGTATTGCTGCTATCAGAAAGGACCAGCAGGAGGATCGGGAAGCAGACGCTCTTTGATGGCTTTTCATGTTTACTAGACCGTCTCTTGGCTTGCAATTCAGCACGTCCTGATCCCTAGATTCACATAGAGTTATAGAGGGTGTGGCCCTGGTCCAAGAATTTGTTGCACCTATAAAAATAAGGGGCTTTCAACAGGGTAAATGTGTCCTATTGAATTGGAGGGGAAAATGACAGATCTTTTCTCTGTAGTTTCATTTTGGCTGAGGTTGGTTTTGTAACCCTTTTGGAGATACGGTCCTTTGTGCAAAAAGGCTGCTCAGACTATAAACGACTCTTCCAGGCTGTAAGTGCCTGTAATGAATCACAGCAGAGTCCATGTGAAAGCAACTGGTTCTCTTTGTTTTATTTTTGCTCTGAATCAAAGGAACAGTAATACCTGGTTCATATTAGAGAGCCTTGTTTGAGAATTAGTTAAAAAGAGACATGTCAGAACATGGGTCCAGACTTACTGAGTTTCTTGTGTATTTTATTGTTGAGAAGGCACTTGAAAATATATGGCTAATGGTGGGTGGCGTCATTATACTATGTGCTGTAGCTACCTACTTGGAAAGGAATGTTATTACTAATTTTGAAACTGAAGATATTTTAATTTATGCACACTGGTATTGCCTTTTGTTAATATTTGATTTCAGTTGTGACATAATCAACTAAATGATTCATTTTACCCTATTAGGAGTATCACTCCTAATAAAATGATAATCTCAAATGCATATTTATTTTTAGTGTTTGCATTTTTATGTGATCACCTTTAACCTAGTAAAGCAAAGAGACATTGGTGAACAGAGGTAGTATGTCTTCTTAAACATAAATGCCACAATTATGTCCCCAAATGCAAAGACTTTACACATGTGCATTTTCACTTCTTACCCATTTTAATGTCATAAAATTATTTTTCCCCAGTTTCTCTTTTGTGTATGCCTTTCAAATAGTAGTTTGTGTGCTCTAGAATAAAATCAGCAATTCAGGAGGTTTAAAAAACATGAGAGTCTATCCATGGATATGTTTTCAAACCTTTAAACCATTTCTATTTCTAACCATCTATTTCTATCTAAAGATCTTAAGGAGCATCACCAGTCTCTACAGAGGCCAAAGAGAACTAGATCTGCTTTCCCCTTGGTCTTCTCTAAGAGAAATCAACAATGCTGCTGCTAGTTATTAATATCCTGGACTTGGGGAACCAGGTGATAAGGAAGGAGGAGCCCCAGGGGGTAAAACAGCAACAACAACAAAACCCAGAAAACAAACCTATATTGCAGATGGAGAGTGTTAAAGGGATGAGTAGGGAAGGGATCTTCCTTAGGAGGTAATTTATCTTGAAATCAGTCAAGTTAAAACTCTGAGTGCCTTCAGTAAAAATATTAATAGACTCCTAGAAAACCTCAATGTGCTCCTCCCACATGTTCCCTTCTATTGCTAAAAATAGATCCACAGGCATCCATGACAGCTACGGGATTCTTATTCAGGAGGCAGGAAAGGCTTGGAGACAGCAGTCTGGTTAGGAGACCCAAAACATGGCTATGGGGCCTGCAGGTGGAAGGGGAAGTCGCCAGTGCCTCTGTGAGTCAGTAATCCATGGCTGCTTCCAGAGCCCCACCAGGATGAATTGAAACAATTCACAGAAAGAAAGAAGAACTGAAATGGTAAAAGGAGACAGCTATGGGGGGGTGGTAAGAGCGTTGGGTTAGAGCCTGAAGATCTGGGTTTGAATGTTGGTTTTGTGTTAGCGGCTGTGGGGGACTGAGCGAGGTGATTGTGAGGTTTGGTTTTCTCATCCGTGAAATGGGAGTCAGGATGTCTCCTATAGGGTCATTAGAGTGTGTATGAGAATGTGTGGTAAACCCTAGGCAGTGGTGCGTCCTTGAGGGATATGGAAAAGAGTGGATAGCAGAGAAGAACTGGCTTCTGATCAGTGGATTAATGTTGGCTGACATACCATCTGTTTTCCAAGCTGAAGCTCTTGGCTACCACTAACTGGCATCTGGACCTCTGCTTTCCATGCTCAAAACCAAGACTTTACTCATTTACCTGGAGTTGGTCCTGTCACAGCAGTGAATGTGCACTGCACTCAAAGAGGCCAATGGGTATAGCCAGGATGAGTTTGCTCATTCAGTGTGAAGGTAGACCTTGCTATTTAAGCATATGTCCCCCCTTCCTCCCTATGGCTCCTTCCCATTTCGGAGATATCTTCCAGCTCACACTCACAGCAGATTGCTCTGGAGCGTGGGGAGTCGAAGCAAGGGGATCAGCTGGTCCTGTGAGCACTTTTAGCCAGAGTGTGAGAAGCTAAAGGCTTGCCCCTACGCTAATATCATCAGTGATATTCCTCTGGACAGGAGGACCTGTTTGTCAAACCCAAAGTCTCAGACCCTGGGATAGTGCTGGGTCAACAGGAGCAAGGTAGGTCTTGCAATTCCTGCTGGACTGTGAGAACAGGGACGGGGCTTGTTTTAGGCACTGCTCTAGCTCCAGCCTCATGCTTAGCTCAAAGTAGATACTCAATAAACCTCTTTGGAATGAGAGAAGAAATGAATGGTTCTTATTTTTGAAGTCTCCACACCAACTTTAAAATATATAATTTTATCTCACATCATTTAGACCACAGGTGACTTTTAGTATGTCCCTCAGAAGATCAGCACACTCATAAGCTCTTAGGTGGTTATTTGGAAGAACTCAATACATCCCCCTCATGTGAACTGTTGCTTCAAGGGCATCATTCTCTGAACCTACTCTGACATTCAGGGTAAGCCCTAAATCCTGGCTACACCAATGCTGGGGAGCCATTTTCAAAGGGCCACAGATTCTGCAGGCCACCAGGAAACAGATTCTCAAATGTGTCCAAAACATATTTCTTCTGGACAAGAAAAATTCCAAAAGGCAGTCAGTGATAGATAGACTAAATAGAAAGGTTGACTCCTGGATTGAGAACAGGAAATGGAAACGAAGAGTAGATGGTCACCCAGCACTCTCCCACCCAAAGGAAATGGTTGGGAAATTAGTAGCAGTCTACCCTTTGTACTAATGAGAGAGGGAGAAGACTTTAATGTAATTGTACATTCTCTTATAATGGTCAGAGACCTTACCTAACGTGCATGATGCAATGTACATTTCAAA